TTGCATACTCGAGAAATTGGCGAGGTTCGATGTGGTTCGCGTTGATGACAATTCCGGGTAGTACACGGTTATTGAACGTGGCATCGACCTCGCGCCAAACGAGTCCTGCATCTCTCGTACTGTGTCCTGCATCCGCGTGAACGAAACGTGTGCGCAACGTATTTTTTAACCCCTCGAGTTGCGCGATTCGAGCAATCAATGACTGTCTAATACCGATTGATAATCGCGGTCGTTTAGCCCGACTATGTTTTTCCAACAACTTGAGGCACTCATCATACTTTTGCACCCACGTATCGTATTCGTCTCGCGAACTCAGTCAAGCCAACTGCTCCGGCATTTCTCGATTTGCGCAAAATCTTCCATTTCTTTTACGAAGTGCACGCTAGATTTACAAATGCTACTGTGCATATTACGACTCTGAATTTGTATATCATCAGTATATCTCCATCCCTCTCTAACAAAAATGTGTCTCGTTTAGGAGAGATTGCATATGTGCAAAATATGTATACTTCTATGACCTTCATAATAGTATCTTGTTTCACATTTTCTGCGAATCTTACTGTCGCACGTGTTCATTTATAATAATAATAATATCCTGTTTCACATTTTCTATATATCTAACTGTCGATTGCAAATCGATGTGTCAGCACAAAGATGCTGCATTTTGATGCATAAGAGAGAGATTTTACATGAATACTTTTGGACTGCACTTTTGATATAAGTATCGGAAATCGACTTTTTCGATGATGCAGTGTGCGAAACACTCAATCGATATATGAGTATTCGATTGATTATCTACGGCGCCGTATCAGAGATTTGTTGAATGATTTGATAAAATATATTTGTACAGTAGAAGTAGATATAGATGAAATTAGGTGACTCTCATTTATATTATTATTATTATTATTATTATTGTTATTATTATTGTTCGAGAGCGAGCATAATCTTCTCGAAACAATCGTACGTTCTAGAACATTCGGTCGATCATCAGCATCGCAACAGGCTCGCGCTAGCCACAGCGCGAACCCGCGTTTTTCTACTCGAATTTTGCTTGCTGGTCGCGGTTGCCATGCCAACCGCTCGGCCAAACAAACAAACGCTCGCGCGAGACAACTCGCGCGTTAGATCGCCGCTGTTGCCATGCGGACCATATAATGTAATTTTTCTCGAATATTCGGCAACCGCGACCAACCAGCGGGCGACCTGTCGCAAAGCACTTTTTCTTTAACCCTTTGGGGACGAGTGTCGGCATATAGCCGCCCAAGCCGTTTTACCGTTCCGGACGCGTGTCGGCATATAGCCGCCCAAATTAGTTCGTAGCTGCAAGGCTCGCGACGTCTGTCGTTCTGAGCGATAAGATACGCATAGGTATAGTAAAAGAGTCACGTTTTCATTCAAAGACATTAGGGGCCATTAGCGATGAAGTCTTATCTTCCTTATAGCCCGTCGAGCGGCTCCGTCCCCAAAAGGTTAAAAGCCGCCCTCGTCGACGACGACGAGAGTCTCGCGCTTCTAGTCGACAGCTTCACATCACGCAAAAAATTCCTCCGATCAGCTGATCCTCGTCGATTTGGACTAATTCGTCGATACCGTCGCGCATCCGACGGATAGTCCGGAGTTCAAGTTCGTATCTCGGGCCGCCTATCCTGTCGCGACCGCGGAATCCGCGGTTCTTCCGCTTCGAGCGAGATTCAAGAGTCGCAGCCTCGCCGCGACTCCTCACGAGCGCCAGGAGTTCAA